CTGGTTGTGCCTTATTATTTATTTTGGTTTCTATTTTATTCATATCAGCTGCTGTTAACTGAATCCTTTTACTGACACAAATACATGGTAAAGCCATCATTAACTTCAGATTCATTGCCTTTCAAAGTGTATTCGCTATGCTGGGGTTTGAACCCAGGACCCTATCCATGCCAGGCAAGTACTCCAGCCAGCACTGAGCTTACTTATTATATTATTATTATTATTATTATTATTATTTAGGAAATACTGATTGTAAAAATCAATGTGTTTCATTATTCCATTTTTTTATTTAAATGTAGAATGTAGCCTCCTGTTGGTTTATCTCTCTTCTGTTTTCATGTTGATATTAATCATCTAGAATCCACATAAGAAGAAACACATGATAATTATCCTTCTCATTGGTTTATTTCACTTAACATGATGATGACATTTAGTTTGGTCCATCTTTCTGCCAATGGCAAAATTTTGTTCTTCTTTACAACTGAATAATTTCTCATTGTGTAAATATACAGTATTTTCTTTATTCATTCATCTATTGGCCGTTGTCTAGGCTGATTCCATCACTTGGCTATTATTATAAATAGTGTAATAGTAAACACGGATGGGCAGGCATCCCTGCAGTGTGCCAATTTGGATGTTCTCAGGTGTCTAATGAGGAGTGGTATAGCTTGGTCACACAGAGCACTTCTGTTCTTAGTTCTGTCCAGGAACCTCCACGCTCATTTCTATAATGGCTGGACTAACTTAGATTCCCGCCAACAATCTTTGAAGGCTCGTTTGCCCACATCCTCAGCATAGCTGCCCTTTATACATGACCTAACCTTCCCTCTCTGCCCTGCTATGTGACGGCATTGTTCTCAATTTTGTCAAACTTCCGACTCGCTGTATTTGATTTCTGACACAAATCCCTGAAAAGACATCCAACTGACCATCTGAAAGAGAAAAGAATGAAAACACTTATTTCCCAGGTTACACAGAACCTGAATTTTTAGCCAAAGGAGAAAAAAAATCCCATTAAGGAAAATATGAATCTCATAATTTTTTCCTTTCTTTTCCCTTTTTCCATCTCTTTCTTTTTTTCCTATAAGGTCCAGGATTCAACTCTCCTGCCTTCAGGTCATGATGAGTGAAGACAGAACCAAACAGATTTCAAAGCACTTTATTCAGCAAAAGGGAAATTATCAACGAGATGGTGAGGCTTACTGAAGAAGGCAGGCATGCATCTTTTTTTTTTTTAAATGGGGGGACATAATCAAGAATTTATAAAAAAGAGTTTGGAGGGGTTTGCACAGCCCTAGGGACTAATAGCCAGTTTAGTGGGGTGTAGTATTTATCTGGTTCCCAGCTCTCAGGAAGCTGAGAGAGGAGGATCATAAGTTCAACCTCCAGTGTGCAACGTATTCATTCTTATAGAGACAAGGGAGAAGATGTTTACCTGGGTTCACACTTCCAAACAGCTGCTGTCCATCACTGGGGAAAGCTTGCTGGATGGAGTTCATGGTGATGGGAGTCTGTGGCAAGCTGTTACTAACTTGGCAACATATGGGAAGCAGAGTCCAGTCAGAACCAGGGCTAGGTGTAACCTTCAGGAGCCAGCACACAGTCACCAACTTCTGACCAGGAGGCTCCACCTCAGAAGCTTGGAACTGAGCATTCAAAATGCAAGCCTGGCCAAGGAGGACATTTCATATTCAAACCATAATCTTCCCCTGGCTTTAGTCCTAAAGGATCTAGCCATCTCATAATGAAAACTGCATTCAAAGCAACTTGAAGAGTCCCCAAAGTCTTGGTAGTCTCAAGATTGTTCAAAAGTTCAACGTCTTTTCTGAGATTTATCATAAACACTCAACTGTGACTCCCTCTAAAAAAAATTTAAGTTAAACACTTCCAAGTGTTTAAGGCACAGTGGCATAAGCATCCCCATTCCAAAAGGGAAGAAAAGGAACATACCGGAAAAGGCTCGACCAAAGCAAGACTGAAGCCCAGCAAGCAGGACACACATTCAACCTGAGGGTTCCATGGATGGGATCTGGTACACATGAAGACACGATACCAACTCCAACACATTTGGGTTCTATCTGCAGTCCATGTGGGCTCTCTCTTAGGGCTGCAGTTTTACTTGGCGGGTGTTTCATGGTCCTGCCATCTCTAACTTTTTAAGGTCCCCAGTGCCACTTGGGCTTCACCTTAATAGATCCGCAGACTGGCTTCTCAGGGCCTCTTTGCAAGACATCTATCCATGCTCCACGTTCCCTGACTCCATCAGCCTTTTGCTGTAATCTTTAATGCAAGTCGTCATAAGCCTATAACCATGTCGTTAGGCTTGCTTACAGTTAGAATCCTCCTCCGTGATACCAATTTCCTGAACTAGCTGCCTTATCATCATGACCAAAACGCCAATGGAAACCTGTTAAAGTTGGAAGAATTTATTCGGGCTCATGGTTTCAAATGGTTTTTGTTCACCAGGGAGAGGAAGGACCAGTGGTGTTCACAGCAACGGGGGCATCAGAGCAGGGAGCTTGCTTACATGGCTCCAAACAGGATGCAGAAACTACAACCTGAACCAAGGTTGGTTATGACCAGTAAAGGCCAACCAGGCCCACCCCTAGTGACCAACTTCTATCTGTAAGGCTCCATTTTCCCAGGGCTCCACAGATTTCAAAGTAGTGTAGCACAAGCTGGGAGCCAACTATACAAACCATGAGTCTATAGGCAACGTTTCAGATTCAATGACTATAAGCTCTACTGTATAGACGTGGACTCAGTTTGGCTGGACAATGTTCCTTGTCTGTCTGACCTGCTTATGTTGTACCAGCGAGAAGAGACGCCAATGAAAACAAAAAGCACTTTGGGGTGTTTTTGTCTAGGAGATCAGCAACCTGGGATGTTACTCTGGGCATCAATTCATCTGTGGGTTTTGTTTTTTTTTTTTTAATTCTCTGACAACCACAGTCATCCTGTCATGTTGAAATAAATTTTAAGATGCTGAAAGTATCCTCCTTTTCCTCAAGAAAATATCTCTGAATTTTCTAGTAAAAACGTCTGCCAACGTTGTTCAGCCAAGTTCCTTTCTCCCTTCTTTTCTTTGACAATGAAAGCAGATTTGGTGCCAACACTCAGATCTGGCAGGTGTTTGACGACACATGTTCCTGATAAATGTTGATTACATAAGTTCATTCATGCTAGCTACCATAGCTCTGGAGGCCTCATTGCTACTTAATATAAACTCTCCTTGAAAGCCAGATGTCCAACACACGCCACAAAGGCCTGTTTGATTCTTTCTTCTTCTGGGTTCTCTGGGTTCTCTTAGTGTCTGGGTGCAATGGGACAAGGAGAAATCTGGGGCTCACATCCTGACTCTGCCACATGTGGCCTGCATGGCCCCAGTAAAGGCACTTCACTTCTCTGAGCTTTGGGCTGTTCATTTCTAAACTCAAGAGGTTGGAGCGGTGATCGCCAAGATCTTTAACATTTCCTGGTGAAAGGACAGACCGGCGTGGCGTGTGTGGAAATCCCAGGGGGACAGAAAGACTTTGTGTCCTTTCCTCATGGGGAATATACTTTACGTGATGGAATGTGCTGGTTTTAGTCTGTTCGCTCTCCAGTCAGGCGTGAGATTCTGCAGCTGGCAGGGTTGCAGGATGCATCGCAAGGACAGTTGACTGAGGAAAGGCAGGCTGGGGAGACAGACTGCAGACAGCAGTATGGCCTTAGCTGTGTGACACTAGTTCTGGGCTTATGCTGAGTTAGAGTGCAAGGACCTGCAAGTCACTTAAGGTATAAAATCCTGGGGGAGGAGGGCCACCAAGAACGCCTCAACCCCAAGACTGATCTAGCTAAACAGAAGCTTCACTTGGGAGCTTTTAATTTTTATGACAACTTACCTTTTAGAGAAAAAAAAAAAAGGATCCAGAAAGCTTGTGTGTAAACATTGAAAAGAAATAAAGCTGTCTGTTATTAGTCCTCGAGGAACCACACGGCAGGCTTTTCCCCAACCTGAGACGCTTGCACATTTTCTTCCACGTGCTCTTCGAAGCAACCCTGAGAACTAAGCCGCTATCAAGGCCTTCTTTTATCAGGTGGTCGAAAATCAAGATGCTAACACGCAGTGGGGGTGAGGCTGTGTGTGTTCCAGCCTGCATCCTTCCCTGCTGACCCGGAACTATCCATTACTACTTTGCTCCAAGGCATTCTTTACTCCACAGGCTAGCCTTCTTTGGTCTCTGGCAGGCACTTCTGCAAGCCCAAACTAGGGTCATACCCCTGAGTTCTGCAGACTAATGTAGAGCGAGAGAAGCGTGCCAGATGTGAACTGACTTGCTCACCTGACTTTCCCGGCTCTCTGATACTCCGCTATCCAAAGCAGGCAAAATGAACTCAGGAACCCTCTCCTACTTTCTCTTACTCTTTGAGAGACTTGACACCCAAAACCAACAAGATTCCACGGGTCCGTCGCCACAGACATGATTGGGAATTATTTTGCAAAGCCACATGCTATTGCTGGCTAGGACTAGACAGAATTAACATTTGCCTCAGTTTCTTTAGGGGCTTCCATTAGCCAACCTAACCAATGAAGCCCCGTGGGACTAAGGCAGAAAGAAATGTGACTGACTGTGAGTCATTCAGTCTCGACCTTCGGCATGTTTTGAAAATGTCTTGTGAAATGCCTTTCCAATCAATACGCCACTGGGCAGTAGCAAGGCTGGGGGTTGTGCAAGAGGGGAAGCGGAGGAGCATTTGTGCTGGGTCATTTGAGAGGCATCTAACTCCTGCTGAGAGCAAGGACCCCAAAACACAGGGCCCCCATAACAGTGGCTGATGGGTTCACAGAGAGGCCCAAGCATGAAGGAGGAACCAAAGTGGATGCATTTGTTTGCAGGGGCTCAGGGGAAAGGACAGCCTATGCTCGTACCCCCAAGCTAGGGAGTCTAGGCTATCCTATCAAGGTCCAAGACCAGAGGTAACTCCAGCTCACTTCTGGGCACTTCTGTGCTGCAGACAGCAGCCTAACATCCAAGCATTCCAAGTGTCCGAGGGGAAGAAAGCAATTGGCAAGGGAGGCAGGCTCACAGAGCGAGGAAGCTGGAGATGGTTACGTCCCACGTGCCACTTGCAAGGCCTCTAACTGCAGGAGTGGTCACGTCACCTGTCAGACCCCGAGGCCTTTCCTTTCCACCAAGGAGAGGAGGCATCTGCTCCACGGGATCCCATGAAGCTCAGAAGCCACGAGGCGTCTAGAAACACCCCTGTAAGCTGCACAGTCGCAGAGGACTATTGGCGGGAACCCATCGGGGTGATTTTGCAAGCTCAGATGGAAAGACTCTCCCATTTAAGGAATGGCACTCAGGTATGACTTGTGGTTACAATCAAAACCAACCCTGAAGACGAGCCTGTGCAGATGACAGGGAACATCTGAGTGCCGGTTGGTGCTAGTCACAGTTAGCGGCAAGCTTGGGTGGCTGGTAAATGTTTAACAACTGGTCCTGCGGCGGGGACCAAAACCCTGAAATGTGAGATTGGCCTGGTTCTGTTGAGTAAGTCCTTGCACCATGGCCTATTGACTTCGCAGTATCAGTAAGCCGTCAATACCACGAGGTGGGGAGAAAATGCCCACAGCTCGCCCACACGTGTAGGCCCATGCCAGTTCGAACTCTGCTCCCTACTGGAAACTTGAAAAAAACTGCTTAGTACAGCATACTTAGCGAGCCTGATGGCACTCAAATTAGAGACAGTCTCTAGAGCGCCTCCTCTATTGCTTCAAATAGGGGGTGGGGGCTGGAGAGATGACGTGGGTTAAGGGCTTTGTTGCTCTCCTGGAAGATCCAGGTTTAATTTCCAGCACCCATGTGATGGTTCCATTCCAAGGGATCTGCCACCCTCGCACAGACATACGTGCAAGTAAAACACCAAACATAAAACAAAAATAAATTTTACACATATATATGTATGTGTATATATATGCATATATATGTATGTATATATATATATATATATATTCAGATGGGAATTCTTATTTTTATTTAAATTGTTATTGGTCATTGTTACAGAGAATTTTAATTGTGCCTCTGTCAAAACTGTTGATCCCTAAACTACAGAACGGACATTGTTGAAGGTGGGGTTGGGGGAGATCACCGTTGGTTTTCAAATCCAATGACTGAGGAGTTGAACCAACAGGGTAGAATGAAACAATGCAGGGAAGAGGAGTCTGAGAAATCTGGAACCATCAGTAACCTTCTCGGTGAGGTCTTGTACACGCTGCCTGTTTTCTGAGGCCCAGGCTCCTTCTGTAAAGTGGGATCAGCTCTGCCTTTGCCTCCTTCATGGCGCTGCAACTCAGAGACCAGAGACACTAACACAAGGGCAGGAGTTTTGAGAACAGCAAGATCGGATTTGCTCTGCTTTGTTGTTATTATTTACTTCCAGCATTGATTAGCAGGACCATGTGACTTCATTTTTGATAAGTAGGAACCTGTGCTGGGGCAGCCCAGCCCTGCCCAACAGTTCAAATCCTATTTCTAGAGCTCGAGCCCCTGAAGTGTCCTCTGCTAAGTATAGCTGTGCTCAAGAAGGGCTGTGAGGCATGCACAGCAGCCTGAGGGCAGCCGGGGAGCGGTATTGCCCCGGGCCAGGGGACATTGGGAGCTGCTTTTGCCACAAGCCTTCATACCACCAGTGATCCATGGAGGTTCAAAGCAATATGCAGGCCAAGCTCTGACAGACACAACTTAATCATAACCACCAAGAGCAGGACACAGTCCCAGCCAACTTTAAAGCCTCAGAATTATAAGAATCTGAGAATCTACATTTTAAACAAGTGGTCACATTAATTCACTTAGAAGCAGAACTGAAGCAAAAAAAAAAAATCTGCATGATCCGAAGGCTGATGGAGCAGAATAAAGGGAGGATTCTCTATTGATTGGCCCAAGCACTCAATAGAATACAGAGCTTCTGGGGAAACCCTGCCTGTGCAGTGGGAGCCCTCGTAACACTCTGCCAGGGTAGGCTTCTTCTTCCTTCATTACTAGCAAATCAATAGTTCTATCCACCCAGACACATACACACAGGATGGCTAAGATGCACAGCCACGCCCCAGGGAGGCATACTTGACCACTGTAAAGAACAAACTACTCCCTCCTGCCTAGATCTTAGCGAACATCAACAAAGAGAGGATGTCAGACACTTTTCCCTAAAACACAAACCTCACCCACTCATTTCTCCAGGCTCCTTAGAGGAAAGTTTTGGCAGTAGACACAATGTGTCTTACCTCTCCCACCAGGCATCACACCCAAAACTGTTCAACCTCAGCCGGGTGTGGTGGCGCATGCCTTTAATTCCAGCACTCTGGAGGCTGAGGATACCTTTAACCCTGTGAGTTCGAGGCTAGCCTGGTCAATATAACAAGATCTAGGGCACCCAGGGCTATGTAGACAAACGTTGTCAAAAACAAACAAAAACTGTTTAATCTCTGTATCCACCTGCATTATCAATACATGCTTTATCAGATGCCAGCTACATTAGGCCAGCGTATAAGGCTGGAAATGTCATACGTGCGATTTCATTTGAAGGGCTGGAGATTGAAACTAAGCCAAGAGTCACAGTGGAGGGTGATGAGTCTGAGATGCACAGGCTCTGTGGTACTCCGAGGAAGAGTAGCCTAGTTGGGTGTCATTGCAAGGAGAACCAACAAGTGCCCTAGAACAGAACTCAGGTTTGCAAGAGAAGAGGAACTTCTATGCAGAAGGAATAGTCTTTACAAGGCATGCTCCAAGTGCCGAGCAAGGAGGGAGGAGCCATCGCATGCACCTAGGGCATGCACAGTGGCCTGCCTCGCTAGAGCAGAGAATTTGTAAGGCGTGTGTCAGCAGATGCGGCTGGAATTAGGCAGGTGGACGTGTTCATGTTCCCAGCCCCGAGTGTAGATTTCTCCTTGAAAGCAATGTGTGGCCTTTGGAAGAGTCTCAGAAAGATGATGTCTGCTTTCTTAAAAAAAAAAAAAAATTAAAGACCACTGTTTCTAGAGAGGCAGTGTGGAGCCAGGTTGAAATAACAAGGCGAGCTGAGAAGGAATTGCGACAGTGTTCGGGTGAGCCATGACAGCCCTCTGAACTACAGCAGTGGGGATGGGCTGAAGGCAGAGGGAGGCTGTCAGTGAAGAAGCCGAGTCTCCAGGACAGACTGGGTATGGGTGGGCAGGAGTAGTCCCCGGGGTGGCCTGTATGTGTATGTGATACTAAGACAGTGAGCATGGGGTGCCGGGCCAATTTTAGAGGGAAGTTAACAAGCGCACTTTGGAAAATGTCTCATTTGAGGCGACTTGGGAAATTAAGTCTGAAGTTTACAGATCCTTGCAGACAACTAGAAACACTGACACAAAATAGGCTGCCAGAAAGTATGGGGAGGAAGACCAGAGTAGGGGGGCTCCAGCCCAGCCTGCCTTCCTCTTTCAGCCCCAGGAGCACACGGTCCTCAAGATGAGGCTGCGCTGTGACTGGAGAAGTCTGCAGAAGGGTTGGATAAAGTCTTCTGAGTTATACGGTGTACCCTTAGGCTGGAGGGTAGATAAGACATCACAATGGTGACTTTGGTAATTGAGAAATGGGGTCCTGTCTTTATCATCTTCACGGGTCAGGGATGGTAGTCATTTAACCTTTAAAGGTGTGCGTGGTTTCTCGCGCATTTCTCGGGCCCGGCTTAGGAGGTTCAGCTCCTTTCCTCGGATCCAAAGTGGGAAGGAAGCAGCGGAAAAATAGCGCCCTTTCTGACTCCAGAACGCGCCACCTCCGCCATCATAAGGCCCGACCCTCGCAAGTATCTTCCAAGGCAGTTTGGAGGAAACTTAACTACCCCTTCGCACAGCCAGAAAGGAATCCTAGGGAGGAGTGTCAAACGCCCGTGCTCTGTGCTCTCTCTCGCTGTTTGCGCAGGCAAAGGAGGCCTTGGACTCTGTGATGTACCCCAACAGTGCCCAGCACTCAGAGTCTTCGCGGGCTCTCAGAAGGAAGCGCTACTTCAGGCTTCAACAATTCGCTTACTGGCACGATGAGGTGCTAATAACAGCAGCCACCAAATGGCCGGATTCAACTAAGCTGACTTCCTCCCTCACTAATATATGCGGCCACTTGCCCCCACATAGTCAGCCTGGGGTTGGGAGTCCCTTTTTTCTTTACCTTCTAGTAGAATTCATCTGAACCAGACAAGAAACCTGAAAGCCCCATCAATAAAGCAGCCATCTATAAACTGGGTGGCGGTGGCACATGCCTTTAGTCCCAACACTCACTCGGGAGACAGAGGCAGGCGGATCTCTGAGTGCAAGGGCAGCCTGGTCTACAGAGTGAGTTTCAGGGAAGCCAGTTACACAGAGAAACCCTGTCTCGAGAAACAAAGAACAAACAAACCAAAAGAACAGCCATTTATAAATAAGTTTGTAAAGAATTATTCAATCCCCAAAGTGACTCTTCTAAGCCATGGGACCAGATGTGACCTTACCGACGCTCTCTGAGACGTAAAGTCAGCAATGGCCCTATCCAGCCTTGCTTCACAGACAGATGTGAAGGTCTAAGACCATGGTCAGGTGTCATTAAGACTTGGATACCTGTCATTCAAGGGGCAAAGTGGTATCAGAAGAAACAGTAGTCTCATAAGGGCAGGCACACTGAGGTAACTGTGCCTCACATCCCGCACGGGGACAAGACAGAAGACACTCCAGGTGACAGCCATAGCTGTACAGTGGCCCTTTCCCACGAACATCCAGGTTGACAAATTCACTAGAAAGTAATAGTTAAAAACTCCTTCCCAAGAGTCAATTTGTTTCACCATTTTATTTCCCAGGGAAGAGAAAATGTGCAAACTTTCGGTAATCAATCAGTTCTACAAGCCTCTTGCAACCTTAGCCAGACCTTTGAAAACGGCTAGTGTACACGTTTTTGAAAGGTGACAGACAGGGGTGGGAGGAAGACACTGGGTTTAGTCAAAGATCATCTTGGTTTCTAAAGACTAATGAACTCTGTTCTCCAATAGAGGACAGGACTCACAGGCGGTAGGGCCAGATAACCTTCCAAAGACCTTTTTATTCTCATTGAACCCCACCCCACTCACTCTGCAGGAACGGAAACCCAGACTCAAAAAGACAGGGCCCTGCTTCCACCTATACCTCTAGGCAGAGTCAAAGCAAACCGTGAGCTGTTTCTCTTCCCTCAGCATACATTCGCTGAGTGTCCACCAAATTCTGCCTGGGGGAACGGGAGGAAGACGTAGAACTCAGGGAAGACAGTGGCACAAGCAGGACCCCAGCCCAGAGGGCACATGCTATATTAGATAAACAGGGCATTATGGAATATGAGAATTTAGAGTGGTAATTCCACCCCGGGGTTACCAGAGAAGGCTCCACTCCGGAGTGAGCTTCTGAGTACGTAAAGCAGACAGTCAGAGAGCAGTCCAGGCAGAGGGGACAGGGTGAGCTACAGCAGCAGGTAGGAAGAACACAGGGTGTGTGGGAAGCGCCATACAAGAGTTTGAAACAGCTGGGGGCGGGTGTTAGAAAGGGCCCGCGAACTATCTCGGGATGGCAACAGGGCTCAGCTGCCCTTCTCCACCTCATTTGGCATGCTCCCTGGGGCTATGGCCCGTGTCCACCTAATGGGCCAGTGTGACACCTGGCCAAGTGCTGATGGCATGGTAGGGCTTAATGAATTCCCTTTGAAGATGAGAGGCTGGTGAGGGAGAAAAGAATTTGCCACTCAAGTGAGTCAACTGGAACGGAAGGTGTGTCCTGGCTCCCTAGGCCTGGTGCTCTGGCTGCCCAACCAGACAGCTGGGGTCACCTCCCCCAGGGGCCACAGGGTTCCACTTGGAAACATCAGGTCTTTTTTTTTTTTTTTTTTTTTTTTTTTTTTTCACCCAGTCTTACAAAGCCACAAAGCTTCTGCTTCACTCCTGGCCTCTGTAGCATCACCAACATAATTGATCCCAGAGCTCTGCTCCCGTATACGCATTGGCTTCCTAGGGAGTGATGGCACACATGTGCCCTCCCTACTCGGAGCACCTGCACATCACAGCCCGCCCCCACCCACCCCCACCCCCACCCCCACGGGACAGTATAGAGGACACGCAACTGGAGGCAGAAATAGCACTACACTTTAAAGTCTTCCTTCTGGGTGCTCTGTGCTTCCTGTCCTGAGCTCCGCTTTTTCCTTTGGGGACGGCTGAGACACCCAGAGATAAACAAAGCCTTACGGTGACTCTCACTGCAGAGGTGAGAGGGTTTCAAAGTCTCTGTGTCGTCCTACCTTCTGTTGGCTAGTTGCCGGCATCATGGGTGGGGACAGGAGAGAACACCAAGTCTGACAACTCCTTCAGGTGTTCTCACACGTATACCAGGTCTGCACCACGTATAAACACCCAGGCAGACTGTGCCAGGATGCACTGTGTTGGGGAAAGTCATCCACATACCACAGTAGCCATTAAGCAGGCCCAAACAACCCTCAATGACTAAGGTGTTTTTTTTCCACTTACACTTAGTTCTTTTGCTTTCACTACACAGTTGTATTAGCAAACGAAGAGTTCTTAACAGGCCAACAGGTCCTTCCCTGATTCTCCTGCAGGAACGAGGTCCTCAGCTCACTCCAGTGTCGGCGAGCACCTATTCAACTAGGCTTTCCAAAGCACAGCTCCCAGCACTTCTTGCCACAGAGTTGCTATGATCCAAAGAGTCAAGAGACAATGGACAGCCTGCAAGCCAAGGTGACTGGGCAGGGAACCAAACCAAAGATGAGTCAAATACAGAGAGTGGATTCCTAGCTTAGGTGACTGTCAGAGGACGAGCGCCGGGAATACAGGAGGGAGAATATCCACAGAATGGAAAACAGGAGAAAGCTATCAGACTGTGCATCGACACGCAGAGCTGGGGAAGGAAGCGAGGCCTCGCTACAGATGCCCTCACTAATAGCCAAGGGAAGGCTACTGTGCAAACAAGAACTGTCATTTTGCCCCAGTCCCTTTAGCCAAAATGGTTTACATCTGACAACAGGAAGAGTTAGCGATGTTCAGCAGCAATAAAGACAATCAACTAAAAGCTGATAGAGCTCTAGATGGGTATACCCACCGTGGGGAGAAATCTGCAATACCCCCAAGGGGAGGCTAGGCACACTCTGCATTTGAGAGGCTCCACTCGAGCTTGTACAAGCAAGGAAATCCTTGCATAAATACACAAAGGGTCCTTGCAGAAGGACATTTTCTGCACTGTTGCTCCTAAGAGGGAAATGTCATTTAAAACCTCACCAGAACAGAATTCCTTAAGACTTTGTGGCATACCCACATAAGGAGATGCTATGGAGGCAGAAGTTAAAGTGAATGAACTCGGGCTAAGGCACCGGTGCTGGTATGCCTAAAGCAACAAGGTTAGAAGAAAAAGAGCAATTTTCAGAACCAGTCGGTATTATATCATTTCTGAAATTTTTGAATAATAAAACAGTGCTCTACATTGTCCTGGAGGCTGATGGTATAAGCAAGCCAAACATGGACAGGACATGAACACATCTTTGGGATGGGAGTTGCATTTACAGAGAGAAAAGGCTGGGAAGAAGTAAGCTACAAAGGGTGGGGCTATTTTTGTTTGTCTGTTTGCTTGCTTGTTTCCTTAAAAGGCTGCAGGGACTATGCAGAGAGTTCAAATGGCTGGAATAAGAGGAGTCAGGATAGACTTCACGTCAGGTCATCACACCACGTGGACACGGTGACTGCCCCTTGTTCTTCAAACGAGGACTTGGAGCAAATGGCTCCAGGCGGCCTGACCTTCCTTGTTTTTGTTTACAGCTCCGGAGGATGACTAGACAAAAGGGAAAGCCTACGAACACCATGGATTATCACCTGCAAAGACTTAACCCTGTCACTCAAATTTCCTCTCGCCTTGGGCATGGTGCAATACCTCCAGGGCCTCCGTAAACCCGGGGCACAACAATAACACATCTCTGAACAGTTGTGATAAGCAAATGCATATGTAAAACGCTTTGTGCCTGTAACGTGCTATGCAGATGGTCACTACTATTAATGACCTGGATTTTACTGCAAAGGAAACCTTGGGCCAGATTTACATTTCTGGCCGACAGTGACTCATACAACTTCCCTCCTCGAGCACCTGGTTGAGCAAACAGGCCTAGGCATCATCCTGCGGTTAACTGCTTGAAGAGTTACTGATTCTTCCTTGAAGGAACTGATTCTTCCTTAGGCAGCTGAGTCTCTGAGCAGGGATTGAGCACAATTGCAATCACCCCACTCCCACCCCCAGGGGATGCTGGAGCGACTCAGGTGAGAAGATTCTCTAGGCCTACTTTCTCTGTACCTGCCCATTGCAGGATGGAGGAGAATAGTGTTAGCAGATGGAAGCTTTCTCAGGTTTGCAGACCACAAAGCTGAAACAGGAGGGGCAAAAATAGTGACCCCCCCTCAAACAGCAAGGAATGGGGGGGGGGGTTCGTCCAGGCGTCTTTTCTTAATTCAGAGTAACCAGGGCAAGACCTTTCTGCTAAGTGCTTTGATTTCTATATAGGCCTATGTTTCTAGGATTCAACCCGACCTCCATTGTTCTAATGGCTGCTAGCTGAAGAACACTCAATTCTATTAACTATGAGATGCAATAGAATTTTCCCTAATTGATCTTTCTGACCCAGGTGTTGGTTTTGCTGGGGGCGCCTTCATGGAGTTTCTTCCTTGACTCCTCTTGAGTGGCCCATCTGTCCCTAAAAGATGGTCACTGCTGTCTTCCCTCTAGTCCCGCCTCCGCCCTTACCTGGTGAACACTCCTACCCACCTGCATACCTGCTCTGGGACATGGCCAAAAAGACCTTCGAGGGGCGGCAAAGCAGAAAGGTCATAATTCAGAAAACAGATGTGGCATTTGACTACAACCCCCAAGGTACTCCCAGGGGAGGGTGTGAGTGGCAATATTGCTGCTAACATTTCCCCAGAGACTGCAGGAGGCTACACAGCCACAAACAGGGGTGCTTCTGACAGGCAGCCACAGGGGCAGCCTGATTTGAAGGGGAAGGGGAACCAAACTCTTGTCACGCTGCCGAAGAGCTGGCCCCCAAGGCTGTGGTACTCCTTCCCTACAGCTACGAACTTGCTCCACTAGAAACCCCCAAGATCTGAGAAGAGACTAATATCCCTGTGCTTAAGAAGAGGGGACCATGACAGCTGTAAGACTCATAACCTCCAGGGTATCCCCATGCCTGTTATCTCCTTGATTTTCATGCAGGCCAGGTGGGGGGTGGCTAGGGATAGGCTCCACCTCCCTTATTGTAGATGAAGACATGCTTCTGAAGGCAAGAAGGTTGAAAACCTTGGGTCAGATTTCTGATTTTAATTTCCGTTCTCCCCTCACATACAGTTAACATATCATCAGCTTGGGGTAATATTTTATTAGCGATCAAGCGAGAGAGGGCCAGTATTCTAAGTCATTGCCAAAGGCACAGGAGCTAATCAGTTCACCCCTGCCCTTCAGTAAACAGTTTAGGGGAAGAAGTCATTTGTGAAATTAAAGCAGCATTTACACTGTAGTTCCCATTGTCTGGTTTCTAGAATCCAGGTCTTGAGTGTGTGTGCCCCCTCCCCAACCCTCACTGTACTTTTTTGCCATCTGGCTTCTTCAGTTCACTAGAAGAGGAAGGTGGGACAAAGCAAAGGCCCAGAGGAACACCTGCCCCCTTGCCGTGCCTGCTGCCATGTGTGCCCAACTTCAGAATGTCTACTTAAAGCGTTCTCAACCTGTGGGTCACGACCCCTCTGGGGACTGAACAATCCTTTCACAAGAGTCCCATATCAGATATCCTGCATATCAGATGTTTACATTGTGATTCATAACAGTAGCAAAATTATAGTTACGAAGTAGCAGCGAAATGACTTTATGGTTGGGAGTTCACCACAACATGAGGAACTGTATTAAAGGGTCCCAGAATTAAGAAGATTGAGAACCAGTACCTAAAGAGACATTTTAAGGCTGGAGGTAAGAACAGAAACCCTGTCCTACAATCAAGACACTTCAAAGGTTTCCTGTCGCGACAAGGGGTCCTCAGAACGCCGCAGAAGCAGCACCTGGGAGTTCATTAGGAGTGCAGAATGTCAGGGCCGCCCAGACTGCCCTAGATCAGAACTGTATTTTAATGAGACCGCAGGCACCGGCTGTACTATTGGCTTACTCCTGCAGGCAACCCTCACCAGCTCCATGGCCTCCTGTTTCTGTACCAGCCTGGGATCCTGCAATTTCTTCTCTGTCCTTTTTTCCCTGGGTTAAATCTTTCCCATCCAGTGAAGACTGCCTTAAAAATCTCACCTCCCGCAAGAATCCAACCAGCTCTTGCCATTTAGAGGTCTCGTCTTCTTCTAAGTCCAAATGCCAGGTCCTTGAACTTTCTGCCTCAGATTATGGGACTTTATGATCGTAGTCTCTCTCTCTCTCTCTCTCTCTCTCTCTCTCTCTCTCTCTCTCTCTCATTAGCAATTCAAGCTGAGCTCTACACCTGAGTTATTTCTGTGTTTCTCACAGCACTTTGGAATGCTCCTATCACAAACTGTCCTGCAATGCCTCTGTCCATAATGTTTCTCTTTGTTTCTCCTTTACATATTGAAAGAGATTTGTAAGTTCCAATTATTATTTATTACTTTTGTTATTTTCAGATAGTTATTGCCAAATATGATTATGATTTAGACTCAGAAATACTTACCTAAAATGTTTATCCACATACCTGCAGACATACCCTACTCCAAATGCGTGTTCATGGGCTTCTGTGCACACACACACACACACACACACACACACACACACACACACACACTGATTTTAATTCTTTGTTTTGCATAGTTGGAATGACAACTAGTAGAAATTTATTGAGACTATATGGAAAATGACTGCTACCTGCATTTCATAATCTTACCAAGAGAGATGAAGGAACATGATCCCATAATAGAATGGAACAAAATGACACACACATCCCAGAGTCTCTATCAGCATCTGCATTTGGGACAAGCAAAGGTCCCCTGGCCCTTGTTCAGTTGCTTAATGGAGAAGACTCCAAAGACAGAATGCCACTGGTGTCCTTCCAATTATAGAATCATCTGATTAGTATTACAGTAAATGCATAGCTCAGTTTGCATTGCCCTGACATGAACCACAAAGGAAGACTCTCTTCCTGGGCCATCTGAGGGTACTGAAATCTGCAACTCTACTGCCTCGTCACTTCAGGGTCCTCACGCCAGGACTGGCCTAGAAATGGGACAGAAACAAGTTAGGACACTCCATTTCTGGGGACCTTAGAGCCCAAGGCACCAGAGCTAGATGGGGATTTGAATGAATGCTTAGAAGAAAAACTGGAATGTCATACACTTTAGCTATTAGCCGAGTCCAGACGTGTAGAAGGAAGGTAGTCTGGGGTAATTTTAGAATTCGTTATTCTAGCTCACCTTCAGTCTGGTTTATGGACTCTAATGGTGGTCTATAGATCACAAGTTTGTAGCATCCTAGTCCGTGATGAAATTGGTCCCATGTTCTATCTAGGGAAAGAAACACAAAGCAGGAATTCTTCACAATTGCAAACGCACATTCTATTACAGCTTGAGACTGGGGCCTCATCAGGTTTTGGAACCAGCTCTGACTGTTGTGTCATTATTGCGTTTCTCTCAGTCATCAGACTGTTAAGTAATACCGCCTGAAACCCAGCCGGAGCCTGTGCTGGGATGAGAGCTGCACTTGGAAGTCACCAAGTCAGAGCGCTAGTGGCTGAAACTCTGCTCTAGTGAACCATGAAATAGGCTTTCAAAGGGGCAGAGAGTAAGAGACGTGTGAACCATGAGTAAAACTGTCTCGCCAGCGTGGTGACATTCATAATGAAGTAAATGGAAGCCCACTGTGTGATGGGCATCTGTCCAAGTCACTTACAGAACCAAGCCAAATGGAAGCCCAGCAGCACCTCAGAGTAAGCTCCAGAGGTCCCAGGACCTTGGGCCACTACTGTGAATGACAAGCCATAAAGTCACAGCAGGCAGCTTTTGCTACCCAAGTTACTTTCCGAGCCTGCTCCTTCCTCGAATCCTACCTATTACACTTGGGTTCTATGTCCTTCTCTCTTTGTCTCCCCCTCCCCCAGCTGTCCTAAAATTCACTATACAGACCAGGTTGGTCTTGAAATCACAGAGATACGCCAGCCTTTATTTTCCAAGTGCTGAGATTAAAGACTTGTGCCATCATGCCCAGATAGCTAAGGAAATTATATAAGAAAGTTACACAAATTCAAGTTGAGTGGTGGGGAGGATAAATCCACTTTTAAAAAACAGTTTTAGCCCAGGACAAATCAGTCAGATTCTCCCTGGCTGCCTTACAACATTGATTGAAGTTCTTGTCACTTTTTATCCCTGCTTCAAACCAAATGAATAGATACATGAGGGGTTATCTAGATCAAATAGAGACACTGCAATCAAGGAATATGCAGATATCAAATCATAAATCTACTATATATGAACATGCACCATTGTGAATATTTGAAAATAGGCAAAATACTAAATTTTGCAAGCAGAATCTTAGCAGGCAGGGGAATTCACCCTTAGTCTCCTGGGTGAGGGAAATGGCTAGAGAGCAGGGGTGAAAGGACAGGTTTAAGGGCTGCTGGTTTGGACCAAGTCAGTGTGCCTAACCTCACCCTGGCTGTGCCACATCATGGTAGCCACCATCTTTCCCCAGGATTGCAACAGCTGAACACTTCACTGCTGCGACTCTAAATCACATTTTGTTTTGCATCGATGCAGAGGCCTCACCAACCAAAAGCTATTCAAAGTGTGTAGAAGGCATCCATAAAATGCTAGTGTTGCATGTGTGGAAGAAACCCTTTTCAGTTTGGATTCAGACAGCAGTGTATCGGCAAGAACAAGAGTGGGCCCTTCCGGTCCATGGAGTATACAATCCAGTCACCAGCCAACGACCCGGTCCACCAATCAGGTGACCCGAATCCTTTTAGATGCTGCCCAGTGTTTTCTACAAGAGCTACAAGGCCTTCAGTAGCTGTGCACCGACTGCTTTGTCTTAGGAATGAGAAAATGGGGCTACAGTTGGGAAAGCAGCTATGCCCAAAGGTCACCAGAGAATACATGGTGAAGCCAAGACAAAATGCTCTGTCATGCCTTGAGAGCTGGTGTCCACATAGCTCATCAACACTCTGAGAAATGCCACAGTCCGCAAGGTTCCCAGGAACATAAAGCTCCCAAGTACCATGGAAATCATTCTGCAATTGTCTCTGAACGCTGGAGAATCTAAACATCCTTTGGCTCTTGCATAACAAAGCAGAAAACCCTGACTTGACCTAGTTTTCAGCAGGTGGCACCTAAGAGTGTGGAGTTCTAGACTCATGCCCCATCTGGGACGGAGATCCTTGTATACGATGTCCTTTGGCTCCACCCTGACATTCTTTTGAGGCCCTTGGAAGACAGTGCCTAGAAATGACGACAAACGGAGGCAAGTCTCTCTTCTCAAGAGTGTTCCAAGGAGCACAAGCAGACACTGGTGCCCTGCATCTGTTCGAAGGCCACCTCTTTGTTTAGGTATATGTGGGCATGGAAAGAAAACGTCACACCTGTTCACTGGAGACAGACGCTGCACCTCCTGGGTTCTATGTGTG